CCCCCCCCGCCCCCCTCCCCGCCAGCTCCCAGGCTGCAGTAAAGTCTTGTTTTCCTCCCCATGACCAGGTGACCAGCACTGAGTGCGGTGGACCAGGCTGCACCCTGCTTGAGTGTGGTTCACGAAGCATACCCCCCACTCATGGAAACAGAACTCCACTCCTCCGGGTCAGGGAACTTGTCATTCTACTGGGGACCGCCACATTCAGCAACCACGTTGAAAGGAACAGGACAGATGGAGAACTAGGCCACTTCTTCCTCTCCCACAAACTGGTGCAGATTGGAGAGGGCCAGGCTTTCAGAAGGTGGCAGTTGAAAGAGAGGGACTCGAAGCCAGTAGGCTCAACCAAGGAAGCTGTGCTTGCCAAGAACGCCAGGGTTTCTGGTTTCCTCTGCCTGGTTCTCAGCTCTGTTGGTGGTGTGGTGGGTTCCGCACAGCTGCAGGAGGCTAGGGCTCCCTCCTCTTCTTTGAGCCTGTTGGGACAGGGACTTAGCATCCAGCCCTTCCCCCTCCTGCCCCCACCCCCACACAGTCCAAGGAACCCTGTGGAGATTCTTCCAGCAAGACCTCCACCGGCTCTGCAGGAAGCCTTGGCCAGCCCCTAGTCAACACTGGTTTGGGCAGGAATTTCCCCCAAGGGCATCAGGGGCTCCCTGGGAAGGGTGCAAATTCCAGCACCCAAATTCCTAGTTTTCAGGTCCTACTTCACTGCTTTGCTGGCAGCCTTTGGGCAAGAGATAGCCGATGCAGAGCAGTGTGGGTATCCCTGTCTATGTCAAAGGCCTGAGGTCAGAATGAGGAAAAAGATAATCACATTCCAGGCTATCTGTCTGCATTGTCTGAGCCCACAGCCCTGTTGACTGGGAGCAAAGCAGCCCCTCGAGACACCTGTTGGGGATTCGGGGCAGGATTGGGGAAAGTTTCTGCAAACTGAAAAGAAAAATGATTATTGGGGCTGAAGAGATGGGGCCACAGCTGAGTTCTTGCGGTGGCTGCAGAAAATTGGCAGTCAGTTCCCAGCACCCATGTAGGGCAGCTCACAACTACCCCAGCTCCAGGGGACCCAACCATCTTCTGGCCTCTAAGGGCACCTACATTTATAGGTATATATGCAGGATGATAGATAGATAGATAGATAGATAGATAGATAGATAGATAGAAGATAGATGTTTAGTTTTTTTTCAAAACAGGCTTTCTCTTTGTAACCCTGGCTGTCCTAGAACTTACTCTGTAGACCAGGATGGTCTCCAACTCACATAAATCCACCTGCCTCTGCCTCCCAAATGCTGGGATTAAAGGCAGGCGCTACCACTTGGCAACAAAATAAATAAATAAAAAGAATCTTTTTTGGGGGGGTTCAAGACGTGGGGGGAGGTTCAAGACATGGTTTCTCTGTGGCTTTGGAGGCTGTCCTGGAACTAGCTCTTGTAGACCAGGCTGATTCCGTACTCACAGAGATCCGCCTGCCTCTGCTTCCCGAGTGCTGGGATTAAAGGCATGAGCCACCACCACCTGCCTAAAAAAAAATCTTTTTAAAAAAGATGGTCACTACCTATGCAGTGTGGTACACACCTGTAATTCCAGTACTCTGGGAAGAAAAGTTCCCAGAGTACAGGGAAAGTTCAGGAGTACAAAGGCAGGAAAGTTCAGGAGTACAAAGCCAACCTTGTCTATGTAGTGAGTTTCAGACCCACTGGGCTACATAAAACCCTGGTTTTAAAAAAAAAAGTCAGGTAATGGTGGCACACACCTTTAATCCCAGCACTCGGGAGGCAGAGGCAGGCTGATCTCTGTGACTCGAGACCAGCCTGGTCTACAAGAGCTAGTTCCAAGACAGCCTCCAAAGCCACAGAGAAACCCTGTCTCAAAAAAAGCCAAAGGGGGAAAAATGATTCCAGGCTGGGCAGTGGTGGCGAATGCTTTGAACCCCATAAGGCAGCATGTCAGCAAACAGGTTTTACTAAAGAAGAAAAAAGTGCATTAAAGTTTAAAGTTAAATGTGCTTTAGAATGTCTTCCAATAGGCACTCATCCTAAGGCTAAGTTGTTGTAGTAAAACACACTTTGGGGAATGTATAGGATGGGTCTAGTTTGAGCTAGAAAGGACCTACTATGTGTTGGGAGTACAGGAGACTATCAGAAAATAAAGGCTGGGCCCTGACCAGATGACTGGGAGAGAAAGGAGCCACTGACTGCGGTGGCTCCTCATTCCACTGGGCCTTCTGTGGGGCCTCTTTTCCCACTTCTGGCCTCTTAAAAGCTGTGTGCCTCATCTAGCTAGTGTGCTCTCCATGCCCTGAACCACAAGCCAAGTGTGTTCATTCCCTGAAGCACCTTTGTTTGTGCTGTCCCCTATTGGAGACACCTTTTTTCCCAGATAATGGTTCCAGCCCCTAACTTCCTCCAGGCCAGCAGCTCCATTCCGTCTGTAAGGAACCTAGAGAAAGACTCCTGGTCAGATTAGGTCTCCATAGCAACCACCACCACCTGCCAGAGTGGATGTTTATTTATTTATTTATTTATTTATTTATTTTCTCACCTCCCTCCGTCACTAGGGTGTGAGCAATCCAGGGGGCTTTATCTTAAAGTTGAGTGATTCATTCAGCAAGGGTATTCTGAACACCTAGTATTGGCAGGCAGGGCACTGAGCAGTGCCGAGGGTACAATGGTGAGAGCAAGGTCTCAAGCTTGCCTTCTGTGTGGAGCTAAGAGCCCAGCAGAGAAGACAAGGTTAATTCAGCAGGCACGAAGGTACTTAAGTCACTACAAACTGTGCCAAGTGCTAGGAACAATCAGAATAAAGTAGACAAGTCCACAAGAGCGAATAACAGCAGGCTGATTGGGTGCAAGAGGCCTGGTGGGGAAGGAGAGCTTCTCTGAGGAGGTGACCTTAACTCTTGCCTTCTAAAGGAAGGAAGTAGGGGAAGAAACTATGGGGGTGGGAGTGAGATGTTTCAGGGTAGAGAAGGGAGCCTGCGGCAGGGAAGAGCTCTGCCAGCTCTCCGTAGCTGGCCCTTATGGAGGCAGCAGAAAGTTCATACGGTGTCAGAGATTGCCCAGGACAGAAGACAAGAGGTGACTAGGAAGGGACTGCCAGGTACCAGCGCAGGGAGCAGGCAACCGAGCAAAGCCTGGAGTCATACCCATAACAGGGTGACTGTTACCAACAAGCAAGGCCACACAAAGGAAACGGGAAGTGACGGATGTGGAGGATGTGGAGACATAAGCATCCTTCTGTACTGTTAGTGGGGTATGGCACAAACAAAGCACTATGGAGAGTGAGTTACCTTGCCAGTCATCAGTTCTATGTCTGAGTGCTAAAACCAGGAATCCATCCGTGTCCACGGCAGCACTGGCGTGACCGCCAGAAGATGAAAACATCCCAATTGTCCATTGTCCACTGACACATGTGTAAATAAAATGTGATACACATGTCATGGAGTAATATTCGGCTTTAAAAAGGAAGGTGGGGGAGGGGTTGTACAGGAAGAAGGAAACAAGGAAGGAGATTTTGAGGGGGCATTATAGGGGCATTATAGGGGCAACATAGCCCTATAATCAAAAGGCTGGGCCAGGGAGACCAAGAGCTACATAAGGAACCCTGTCTCCAAAGGCGAAAGGGTAAAAAAAGATTTTAAAAATTTCAAAAAGAGACCCTGTTGCAATTAAAAAGAAAAAGAAAAAAAAAATTCTTACACTTCAGCGTGGGAACATGGGAGACTTAGAAGGCATGTTAACTAACATAGAATGATAAAGAAGAAACATTGAATAAGCCCACTCACGTTAGGAGTCACACTCAGGAGTGATACAAGAAAAGGGACTTTGTAGTTGTCCAATAGATACAGCCCCAACTTGAGAAGATGAAAAGAATCTGGAGATGGACATGGGGACTGATGCTCAACATTGTGAATTGCCTCAGTGCCACCCAGCTGTCTACTTAAAATAATTAGACTCCTTTCAAGGTGTGTGCATTTTACCACATTTTTATTTTAACACAGATATTAAAACCTGAGCTAAGAGTACTCAGGCAAAGGGCACAAGAATTGGTTGCTAGGGGCTTCGTGAGGCATCAAAGGGGCTACCTAAGATGCAAGAGTTGGGTGATGCTTGAACTAGCCAGAGTGAGTGGGACAGGGCTAGGAAAGCTGTGCTCACGAGGCCAGGTAGGAGCCCAGGGAAAGGATGGGATGGCGTGCCACAGAAAGGACCCCGTGAATAGTTCATGCTCCTGCTGGCATTTAGGGCCTTGGGTATCATACTAAAAAGTTCGGTTTTGTCCTGCGGAAGCCCTGGTGATTTAGCCGGGAAAGGATCTCTGTGCTGGGAAGGAACAAAGGACCAAGGTAAAGGGAAGGAGTTGGGAGGAGGCAGTTTTGTCTCAGTTCACCCATAAGATGGAAGAGGCCCTGGACCTAGGACAAGAGATGTTGATGGGTGAGCATTTCCTGAACCTGTCAACTGGGGAAGGAGCATGGAGGACTGACTCCCTGGCTTCTGGTGTGATTGCCTATAGTACTGTTCAGGGAATCCAGGAAGACAGCAATCTAAGTCTCTAAGTCAATCCTGCATGGCTTGAGCTTGGAAAGCCCATTAGAGGTAGAGATGGAGATAGCCAAAAAAAAAAAAAAAAAAGAAAAAAAGAAAAAAGAAAAAAAAAGCAGAAGATGGGTCTGGAGCCCCAGAAAGTGGTCTGGAGAGTCACCAACATCTGGAGTGTAGATCAAGCCCTGGAGAATGGCCAAGGGAACCCAGTACAAGGTATAGCTAAAGACTCTTATCTTTTCTTTGTAGCCCAAATTGTCCTGGAACTCAGTGTATAGCCCAGGCTGGGCACTGCTACTGCCTCGGCTGGCCTCTAATGCTGGGATTACAGACATGAACCACCACACTTTGCTTTTACATATGCAGACATTGTGCTGCTCAAGGTTCCAAAACTCCAGAACTTGCTCTTCACCCTAATGCTAAGCCCCACCTCTCCTGGCTTCCCCCTTCCCCCTCTATCTGTTCTCCCTGTTACCTTAAAAGATTCTTTTTCTTCAGCCTCCACTTAAAATGCTATTAGTCAGGCCATTGACGGTACAGCGTTATGCAACAGTCCCCACATTTTAGTGGCTTATCATAAAAGTCATTTATTTCTCACTCACTGACTGCCACCAGCTGTGCAGCTCAGTTTCAGGGTGCAACTTCTGTGTACCCCACAAGTGTCCCCACTCAAAGGGTGCCTGGCATGTTCCTTTCATAATAGCAGCACTAGAAGCTGAGCCCACCGAGAGCTCCTCACTGCACCACCATCACATGCCAAGTCCAAAATTAATGGGTCAGAAAGGGATAGATTTGTAGAATAAAAAACCATATGGTGTCACATGGCTGTGATCCCAGCAGCCAGGAAGCTGAAGCAGGAGCATCCCAAATTCAAAGCCACCAAGGTGACAGAGTATCCAGCCCAGGCTAAGCTATGTATTAAGACTATGTATATATTATGTATATATATGCAGACTGGTAGCACAATCCATCAAAGCTGGCTCCACCCTGGTTCTGCCCTAGCTTTCTGTCTCTTTGGACAAGTTCACCTGGGCAATACCCTGAGCCTCCACAGGACTGACCCCTAGATCCATCTCACTCATTGCTTTCCTCAACACCAGCACCACGTTTCAACACAAGGTATTCCCACTGATGTCACTCAGGAGCCCCCAAGTCTAGGTAGCCAGAACTGGACTATATATCCCTCCCCGTTTAATTTCTGTAGCTTGTTTCTGTCTCAATACTGAACGGCAGCCTCCCCGCAGCCACCAGGCCAGCAAGCTGGAGACAGTCTCTTCCTGATTCTAGCCAGTTTCAAGCTGATCAACGGGACCTAGTAAGCATTCTTCAACCAGTTTGCCCTCTACCACCCACCTCTTTCTGCAACAGTCCAGCCCTGGTTCTGCACAGGCCTCACTGACTTGCTTGCATTCTGCCGCCATATCTCTGCTGCTTCTCTGCCTCCTCCATCCAAGCACAGGTCTGAGACCCTGTCCTGCTCCTGCTTGTCTGTGACTCCCTATCTCTTACAGGATGGATCCTACCGCTGCTCCTCAGCATGAAAATTTCATCGGCGGTGTCTGCCTCTTTGCACCAGTTTCTTGCTACAGGTTGTTCTGGGTACTGGGGACAGATGTGTAAATAAGAGAGCCATGGTCCCTCTGTGAGGAAGCAGACAGCTCCAGCAGTGTCTGTGATCTAAGGTGACAGTACAGTGATGGAGCACATGGGCCCCTGTGGACAGTGTAGGAATGCTAAGCTGGGCTGCAGGTCAGGGAGGGTGACCCTGCCTGGACTGTGCAGGGCACTGATTAGCCCTCTCAGGGAGAAGCTGGATCCTAGAGACTCTGAGATGCAACAACAGGTCTCATGAAAGAGCAGCCAGTGGGGGACCAAGGAGGGCTGTTCAGAGAGCTTGATAAAAAAGAAGCAGAAAAACAGCATTCCAGGGAGAAAGTGGCCCAAACAGCTTTGGAAAGAGCTCTGTGAAGGGGAGGTCAGAATGCTGAAAGCAGTTTTGGGGGAGCAATGGCAGCAGAAATTGGATCCAGACAGTTGAGGAGGAGGAAGAGACAAGAATGGCAGCAAGAAATCTCATGTGAGAAGTTTGCCCATGAGGCAGACAAAGGGCATCCCGTCATCCAAGAGCAAGCATTGCTGTTTTAGGCTGGAGACTGAAGAGGCTAGAGCTATGTAAATGGTGGTTGGCAGGTACCCTTCTGAAGGCTAATGGTGCTAAAGGCAGAGGACAATGTCACATGAAGTCTCTAAGAAGTGGGAAACAGAGGGCTTGAGGAGGGAGCTTGCCTACCTAGTATGCACAGAACTCTGGACTCTAACCCTATCACCGCTTGAACTTGGAATGGAGATGCATGCCTGTAATACCAGCAACACAGGGCAGAGAGAGGCCAGAACATGAGACGGTCAAGGTCATCCTCAGCTACCCAATGAATTTGAGGTCACAGTGGCTGGCTGTAATGGCTCTGTCATTACAAAATCATGGGCCAATGAAATGGCTCAACAGGTAAAGGTGCCTGCTACCAAACATGGTGACCTGAGTTCCATCTCTGGGATCTGTACAGTGGGAAAAGAAACGAGCTTCACTAGTTGTCCTCTGACCTTCACACTTGTGCAACGGCGTGCAGAAACCACACACACATACACACTCACACACAACATAAATTGTTTTTAAATTGTGGGGGTGGGGTGAAGGAGGAGTCTCAGCAGCTGAGTGGTCTCAGCTTGTGCCTGGAGGTGTTCCTGCTTCAGTGTCCCCAGTAGGCAAACTCACAGCTGTGGCTTGAAGGAAGAGCCGATATTTCCTAGGTAGATCCAGGTTTCTCTCCTCAACCCACAGTCAAGAAGGTCCAGAGACCAATCCTGAAGAGGATACACTCGTTCCTCTCCCCCTCACTATCTGGGGCACCTAGAGCAGAGCTCACAGGTTCCTTCTCTGTTTCTGACTCCCGTTTCCACGGAAACAGACCTCGGCAATTGTCAAAGTCCCAGCTTTCAAACATAGGTCTCTTCCAAACTTACTCTCGTGTGCCTTACACAGCAGGGTTGTCAGCGCTGCAGGATGGTAGAGCATGGCCCACGCTCTATCAAGGCCACATCCACTAGCTCTCACTTCAACACTAAACCTAGAGCTGGGGCTGACCCCACCCAGAACATCCAAGCTGCCATCTCACCAGTCAGCTCGGGCCTTAATTTACCTCTGAGGTGACAGCACCTGAAGTCTCGGAAGCCTGCCAGCTCAGGCCTGGGACCTCATCCTTGTACAGCTTTCAAGGTTTCTCCTCACAAAGCTGAGGGCCATGGAACACAAGACCTATTTCCTGGTCATTAAAACCTGGGGCACGGCCGGGTGTTGGCCGTGTGTTGGTGGCGCACACCTTTAATCCCAGCACTCGGGAGGCAGAGGCAGGCGGATCTCTGGTCTCCAGAGTGAGTGCCAGGTTAGGCTTCAAAGCTACACAGAGAAACCCTGTCTGGGGGGGGGGGGGCAGAAAAATAAAAAACCTGGGGCACATGAGAAGAGAGGATGGGAGGTCACAAGTCCCCCATTGCTTGCCTGGTGGCCCAAGGCAGGCTTACAGGAAGAATTTCTTCAGGGGAAGCCAGCAGACCTGCCCCTGGCTCTGCTCTCTGCCACTGCTACACCCCAAACACGCACACACGCGAAAGTGCTCTCTCTCTCTCTCTCTCTCTCTCTCTCTCTCTCTCTCTCTCTCTCTCTCTTCATTTTTGTTTGTCTCCCCTGACCCTGCCTCCTGTCTCTCTCTCTGTCTCTTTAGTGGGCTCCTCGCTGGGTTTTTAACCTGTCTCAAGACCTCTTTAGACTCCTACAAGGATGGAAATTTACCTGTTCTGTCCATTGCTGGATTCCTCATGCCTGTGGCGGTACTTGACCTGGTAGAGAATGAATAGTGTTGTGGGGGGACAGTGTGCTTCCCTCTTTCCCTCTTCCTCCCCTGCTGTCCTCTGTCTTCCCTCTTAACCTCACCAGCTGTTTGTTGTTGTTGTTTTTACATTTGTGTGTGAGTGTGTAAGCATGCAAAGCTCCACGGCATGCATGTGCAGGTTTGAGAACAGTCCGTCGGACTTGGTTTCTCTTTCCATCCTGTGAGTCATGGAAATTGGATTCAGGTCATCGAGTTTGTCAGCAACGGCCTTTACCCACTTTTTCCTGCTGAGCCACTGACCAGCCCTCAGATTCTGTTTTGTATCTTTTGACGTGGGCTTCGCTCCCTACCCCTACTCCTTTATCTCTTACCTCTCCTGTGCTGTCTCTGTTTGTCCCTTCTGTTCTCCTGTTCTCTGTTGGTCTGTCTATCTGTCAGTCAGTCTGTCTGTCTCTTTCTCTGTCTCTCTCTCTCTTACACACACACACACACACACACAGAGAGAGAGAGAGAGAGAGAGAGAGAGAGAGAGAGAGAGCAGTTGCTTTTTTGATGTCTTCCCCAGCTCCTGGCTCCTAAGATCTAGTTTTGCTCAACCCAGTGCCCCCACCTAAGGAATCAAGCCCAGGGTCAAAGGGCTGCTCTGCTCTAGAACCTGCCCCAGACACAGCTGCTGAGAGCAGCTGCACCTTTTCTGATGTGACCCAGTCACCACCCAACTTCTCAAGGGGCCTCACTTCCTCTCTGACCACATAAAGAGGTCCCACATCCCAGATCCTGGCCTAGAGACAGCCCCCTAGGAGAGCAGTGGTAAGAGGGTGGTAGGAAAAGAACACACAGTCCTGACGAGGTCCTGCTTCAAGCCTGCTCCACACTCATGCCCCGTGCACCCTGGGTAAGCCCTTCACCGTCCCTAAGTCTCAGTTTCCTCATTTGAAAAGTAGGGGTTGTGATGCCATCCCCTGGGTATGGCACTGAGCGGTGGGTCAAGTACATCACAGTAAGTCAGTCGTTGCTTCAGTTCCTCTGTATGTGCAAGTGATTTGCCTGGGGAAATGGACAAAGATGTGTTAAATTCTTATCATGCAACTGTACAAGCACCAAAGCCTGGTCTCCGGGTAGTAGAGTGCTCCAACCTGGCATCAGAGAAGCCTGAGCTTGTGAGACCTCAGTCTGCTACCTACTGCTTTGCTGTTGCCCTGTGAACCCAGGCCTCCACTCTATAAAATGACCTTGGCCACACAAGTTCTTGGAGCTGCAGCTGATTAAGTGGAATGACAGCCATCGCCTATTTGGTCAAGTGCCTGATCTGGTGTGTGACCAGGAAATGGTGATACTCAATTACTATGTTATTAGGCTGTCACAACAAACCCCAAAGTAGGTGATTGGCAGTGTAGAAAAGGTACATCTTTCTCCAATGCTAAGAACATGTGCATGGGCCAGCAAGCTGACTCAATGGGTAAAGGTGCTTGCCCCAGTGTTCAGTGCCTGAAACCCACATGGTGGAAGGATAGAACCGACTCCCACAGGTTGTCCTCTGACCTCCACACCCACGGCATTGCACACACAAGCCCACATGCTTACAAAATAAGTTAAAGGTAATAAAAATTAAAAATAAAGAAATATATCTTTCAAAAAAAAAGAAATATTTCTTTCGCCGGGTGGTGGTGGCGCACACCTTTAGTCCCAGCACTTGGAAGGAAGGCAGAGGCAGGCAGATCTCTGTGAGTTCGAGACCAGCACGGTCTACAAGAGCTAGTTCCAGGACAGCCTCCAAAGCCACAGAGATACCCAGTTTTGAAAAACCAAAAAAAATAAAATAAAATAAAATAAAAAAGAAAGAAAAAAGGAATATATCTCTCACCCCTAGAACTCACCATATACGCACTCAGAAGCTGAGCCACAGCCCATAGTCTTCTCCTGACACAAGCTTGTGTTGACTTACTAGGTGATGATGGTGTGCTTGCAAGAGGAAGCCTTTGTGAGAGCTGATGCCCAGGTCCTGAGAGACTGAGGACCTTCCTTAGCCCTGAAGTAGACATGGAGAAGGATTAAGCAGCCTGAGCTGTGAGCTGTGAGCGACAGGGCATTTGAAACTCCTCTGCAGGAGTGCCTGCTATTTGCAATTCCTGAGTGTGGCTCCTCTTATACAAGGAAACAAGAGTGGGAGGGTGGCACTCCGGAGGCTTCCCCAGGCAGGAAGGTGGGCAGGAAGGCGGCAGCTCAATGACAGAATTATCCTGGGAACAGTGAAGGGCAGAGAGACGCCAGTGTGCCTACCTGGTGGAGCCTGACAGTGGTGCCTTGAGGTAAGGGCCAAAGTCACGGGCAGCATGCTGTGGAAAGACGCAGCTGGGCCCCAGCTTCTAGGGGCATGAATGGAGCAGAATGTACGCTCCATTCTGGTCCCTGATTTTCCATTATTTCAATGGTAGGATGGACTATGAACTGAGCAGTCTGAGGTGAGAAATGGCTGGGACATGAGGGAAGAAACAGGAAAGAAGCTCCTGAGCAGGCCCTTCCGGCTGATGGACTGCATAAAGCTGACCCCCACCTCCCCATTTTTGGTACCTGTTTTTTATTTCTTCAACTTGTCAGAGCTGTGTGAGTCACACTGAATTCCCATGCCTAGTTGCCAGTGCTTGGTAGGTTGGCTGGCTGATGTCAAAACAAATCAAGGTTTGAGCAAGATGCTGGGGCGGTATTCTAGGTAAGTAGGTATCATATCTCAGAAAATGAGCTGTGTTCTCCACGCTAGGTGTTTCCTTGGGACTCTATAAACATGATTCTGATGCAAAGAGAGGTTTTGCAACAAAAGAATTGGGCTCAAGGTTAGTGAAAGAGAAAAGAGAAAGAAATCAGGACCAAGAAAATAATAATGAAAAAGGTACATATGGCCCGATGGTGGTGGTGCACACCTTTAGTTCCAGCACTTGGGACGCAGAGGCAGGTGGAGCTCTGTGAGTTGAAGGCAGCCTCCAGTCTTGTCTACAGAATGAGTTCCAGGACAGCCAGGGTTATACATAGAAACCCTGCCCCAAAAACCAAGCGAGAAAATAAAAACAAAAAAGAGAAAGAAAAAGAAAGAGAGAAAGAGAAAAGGACATACATATCCAATGAATGAACACGAAAACGCCCTGCTCACAGAGATAAAAAGGAAAACAGGATCCTGTACAGAGCTCTTGATATAAAGAAAATAGAGGGGGCTGGAGAGATGGCTGGGCCATTAAGAACATTTACTTCCCTTGAAGAGGGCCAGGGTTTGATTCCCAGCACTTGAGATTAGGCAGTTCACAACCTGTATGTAACTCCTGTTCCAAGGGGTCGAGCCCCCTATGGCCCCTGCAGGCACCTGCGAGTACAATTTCAGGATTTTAAACACGAGTTGCCTCCCCTTTCCAACATTCATGCTGATAACCTGTGTGATCCCCACTGGAAGGGAGGAGAGTAAATCTGAGACGCTTCTGTGGATGCCATGGTGGTACCTGCAGCACACTTGTCAGCTTCCAGGGAAAAATAGCTGCTGACAGTCCACGAGAGAATTCCCCTAGGAATTATCTTTGGCATCAAGGCATGGCCACACTCCACCCAGAAGCACATCGTTCTAAGGGAGGCTTCTGTCCCCGCGGCATGAACCCAGCAGATCTATTACAGAGCCACCTAACCTTTTCCCACGTGTGCAGCTTCCCCATGCCCCCCCCCCCGACAAGAAAACTGTATGCAACTTCAAGTACACAGGTGTCTAAAATAAGTTCCCGTGGGGGCTGGAGAGATGGTGCAATGGTTAAGAGAACTGGCTTCCTTTTTTTGGGACCTGAGCTCAGTTCCCAGAACCCATATCAGTCAGTGGTACTCATAGTTGCCTGTACCCCCAGATTCAAGTAACTGATACACTCTTCTGGACTTCAAAAACAGGTGTATGCAAACACATATGTATGCATATAGACACACATAGAGACATAATAAAAAACAAATATTTAAAAGGTATACAAATAGGCTAGAGATAGCTCAGGTGGTTAAGGGCACTGGCTGCTCTTCCAGAGGTCCTGAGTTCAGTTCCCAGCAACCACATGCTGGCTCATAACCATCTATAATGAGATTTGGTGCCCTCTTCTGACATGTAGGCAAACATACAGAACACTGTATACATAATTTAAAATAACAACAATAAAAAACTCTGAGTTTGAGGCCAGCCTGGTCTACAGAGCAAGTTCCAGAACAGCCAGGGTTACTCAGAGAAACCTTGTATTAAAAAAACAAACAAAAAAAAACAACAAATTAAAAGCCTGGCATGTGATGCATGCCTTTAATCCCAGCACTTGGAAGGCTGATCTCTGTGAGTTCAAGGCCAACCCGGGACAGCAACTCTACCTAGGGAGTTCCAGAACAGCCAGGACTATGTAGAGAAACCCTGTCTCAAAAAACCCAATAAGTAAATAAATAGTAATTAATTTATTTATATACACACAGAGGATTTTTTAAAATATTTATTTATTTATTATGTATATAGTGTTCTGCCTGCATGATTCCCTGGAGGCCAGAAGAAGCCACCGGATCTCATTACAGATGGTTGTGAGCCACCATGTGGTTGCTGGGAATTGAACTCAGGACCTCTGGAAGAACAGCCAGTGCTCTTAACCTCTGAGCCATCTCTCCAGACCCAGAGGATTTTTTTGAGACAGGATTTCTTTGTGTAACAGACCTAGCTATCCTGGAGCTCACTTTGTAGACCAGGCTGATCTTGAACTCACAGAGATCCACCTGCCTCTGTCTCTTGAGTATTGTGATTAAAGGTGTTCATCACCACACCCAGCCCCAATTAATATTTTAAAATACTTAAGGATATTTTAGCCAAGCAGTGGTGGTGCACACCTTTAAACCCAGCACTCAGGAGTCAGAGGCAGGCAGATCTCTGTGAGTTCAAGACCAGACTCATCTACATAGTGAGTTCCAGGACACCTAGGCCTATATAATGAGACCCTGACTTGAAAAAAACAAAACAAAACAAAAAAAACAAAAAAAAGAAACAACAACAACAACAAAAAACAAGAAACAAAAATATCTGACTACTTCAGGGTGATTGTGGCTTCCTTGAGCTAAGGGAATATGAGCAATGAAAGAAATCCCCACATGGTCGGAGGAGATTGCCCTGGCCATCAGTAGAAGAAGGAAGGGAATGTTCCTATAGAACAGA